GGTTCCCCTCTGCTCAGGCTAGACTGTCAGCACCCCACCTGTCTGTAGCTCAGAGCTAAAAGGAGCTGCCCCAGATACTATGACCTTACAGCAGGCACCTGTGGTGTACCATGGGTCTCCAACATCCAAATAATTGCCCACCCCTAGTGGGACATCATCTAAGAATTAGGCCTATGTAAAGCAGCAAGTATTTAATTTGGATTCAGCAGATTTAGAGGGACAGTGATTCAATGATTCAAATCACTGTCCTGATCTGGATCCAAAGATTTGGCCATGGACTAAACAGGTAGTAGTCCTTGACCACGCTGGACGCAGCTGCCTCCAGCTGGTAACTCTGTCGTGGTGGGCAGAGGGAGGAGCGGGGCAGATGAACGCCCCCACAGCAAGGGAGGGATTGGGGCTGGGACTGGGACAAGCTGCCCAGCTGGGGCAGGGGGCACAGGACTTAGGGAAGAGAGCTCCCACCACTGTGCGCCATCTGCCCAGGAGGCATGAGAGTGGGTGTATGGCCCTGGATCTGCGTGGGGAGGGCTGTGCCGGGCTGTGCTCCGGACAGGTGGCAGAAGGCACTGGGAGCAGGGGCTATGCCCTCCCGCTGCTCGCCCAGCCTCCCCACACCTCCCAGACAAGCCGCAGCTTCACCCCAGCTGGGCGAGCAGTGACAGGGCATGGAGGCGGGTGTGTGCACCCACACCCGGATAGGGGAGGGGCTGGTAGCAGGGGCTATGGGGAATTTTTAAGTGGCTGCAGCTCCCAATAGCCCCCACTCCACTGCACTTTGGGGGGCAGGCAGAGCCAGGGTTGCACTCCCAGGGCGAGCCGCCCAGAGTGTAGCCCTGGCTTCACCCACCCGGCGCAGTGCAGCCTGGTGGCGGGTGGCTGGAGCTATCCTCCCAGACTGCAGCCCAGCCTAGCCTACCCTGGGCAGATCTGGGAGCAAACACCCACTCTCATGCCCTCCCAGACTGGCGGAAGCCCCCCTCCCTGAATCCTGTGCCCCTCACCCCGGCTTGGCAGCTAATCCCAGTCCCAATCCCTACCTGGCTTTGGGGGCATTGATCTGGCCCCCCCGCTTTCCCTCCCCCATCCGCCCGCCACAACAGACTTACCAGCTGGTGGTCAAGGACTGCTGCCTGTTTAGTCTATGGCCGAATCTCTGAATCAGCACCAAATCAATTCGGAGGCTCCCGATTCGATTCGGACCTTTTAATGGGTCTCCCAATTCAATTTGGATTCAGAGATTTGGCCGCGGAATCTCCTTCAAATCAAATTGGCTACCGAAGCTTCACATAGCCGTACTAAGAATCCTACTCCTAGAAATGCAGGAGGTAAACAAACATTATGTCTACTAGAAAAAACTCCATTATATTCTTATATAGCAAAAGGAATTCTGTTGGGTTTATGCCTTTATTAAGGCATCTTAAGATTTTTGTTTTAGTATCTTTCAATTAATCATGCTTCTTGATCAGTGTTTAAAACTGTATTTGGATTCAACTTTTATACTTTTAAAATTTTTCATACATGTATCTTTTAATTGTGAGTTTATAATCTTTACTTTTGCATCACATTCAAGTTTGTTCATGTAAAGAATATAGTGGAATTTGTACACAGCACACTTTTATTAACTGCCAGTGTAAAGAAAATAAGTGTGTACACAAACACACACTTATTTTAAAATATACCAAGTATATTATACGTATTTACCTTGTTTGCTAGCATCCTAAATTAAATCTATATTATTTCTGCTTGAAAAAGTAATACATGAAACAGGATTAAAATGAGAAAAAAAAGCCCTGCAAAATGAATCAACCTAATTTTAATCCAATAGCTAGAGAACTGTACTTCTGGACAATTTAACTATCCAAATAACCAATTAAAAAAATGTGGTGACTTCTATAATTATTTGTAATGGTTTCCAATTTTTACAAGGATCAAACCACTGTGATCAGTCAAACCTATTACAGGCATCAGGGAAAATGATGCAAGGGCCAGAACTCATTCTGACATGCACATAAATATTGACTATGTTATGAAATAAACATCTTCAAGCTAAGAACCTTAATTTCTTAGATGGAATATTTAATATTTTGGCTTCCTAAAGAAGTCATGTAAGCTCTTAAGTCATATATAATCATATATATAAGCCAATTCCCTGATTTAAATTAAACTAGTCCTTCTGTAGGTTGTTGGTTAATATGGCATAATGTGCGAGACTGTACATACATATACAGAAAATGAATAAGAATGAATAAGAGTAAGAACAATTTTAATATTGTGAACAAGGAACTGGTTCAGTGAATTTGCGAGAAAGTAGAGATCAGTTCAAAATTAGCCATAACTGAATCATCCTGGATTCAGTAGAATTTCAAGTGTAAAACAAAAGGGTGATCTTCAAAAAACAAACAAGCAAGCAAGCAAACAACCTTAAATTGAATTTGAGATGAAATGCTTTGCGTAATGCATTCAGATTCAACCTAGCATCTGTTCAACATTCATCCCAAGCTACCTTTTCTTGGTAGCGCTCCCGCACCCAACCTGGTTATAAAGTAGAGTGAGTCTTAAACAAAGAGTCATAAATGTTCCTTTACATAATGACTGCATGTACAGACAGTAACTAATGCTACATCTTATGTCTAAGTTCAATCAAAGAGAAAGGGAACAGTTTGAATAATTCTACCAAACTTTGTCCCGATGGGGATCATTGCTGTATACTAGTGGATCATGTCACCCACTGCTGCATTTACTATAATGGGTATTGCTGGATTTTCTAAGCAGTACTCTAGGCTTCTATTCCTACCCTGCCAGTGCATCTACATAAATGTTTACTGCAGAGCTGAATAATTAGCTTCACAGTAAAGTCTCAGCATCTACATGTGCAGTCCTATTAGGCCATAGTAAACCAATAGATGCTGCCACAGAATAGTACTTGTCAACACTGCAGTGGCATTTAGTGCACTGCAATGCATGCGTAGACACTGATGGGGCTGGCCAGGGCACAAGTGTGCTTCAGTGCCGGGGCTGCCTGATGGCTAGCCCCAGCACTGAAGCACTCATGTCCCAGCCAGCCCCTCAGCAGCACGTTGAGCTAGGTTGGAGCACTCCCAGGCTGATCCCCACAGGCTCCCTGTCAACTGTTGCCACTCCAACCCAGCTTAACACGCTGCGGTCCTGGGCATCTGTGTAAACACAGCATGGAGGAGCAATAAACTCGGATGCAAACCATACCAGACTTTACTTAGCTGCAGTGGCGACACATATGGGGTGGACAGGGGTTCAAGTGCACCCCCTGAGAGCATGGCTGTACCCCCTGACAGGCTGCGCTTAGGCAACAGGCAGTGGGGGCAGGCAGGAGTACCGGTGCCCCCCCTGCAAGCACCTGTTGAAGCACCGCAGCCACTTTTGGGAGAACCATGGCTACTTCCCAATTGGTGTCATCAGCTGTGGGGACCCTCCGCCCCCTGAGATTGGCTGCTGGGGGGCATGTGCCCCCCCGACTAAGGTGGCACCAGTCTCCCATGCTCAGTTGCATTAATTGCACGTGTAGATGCACCCTCCAATGAGCTTTTTGGCTAGGCCTTTGTGTTCGGCTGCTGTTCATCTCATTAGCTGCATCAGCCCTAGCCCTTGGGTGTCTTCCACATTTGACAGCCAGTTGCTAAACCCACTGAAGTTAGTGGAAATACTTAATTCTTGTGTGCCTTGAATCATGCCTTTAAGGCCTAGGTAAAGTTCTGGAAATACTGTACGCCAATTAAGCACAGCATTTAAGTTTAACAAGATAAATATTTTGATTGCATCTTTAGTATCAAATAAGCATTTCAAATCCACATAAGCTCATTCATTACTAAGAGAAGGGGCTAGTGATACCTTAGATGCCTTACCTTGACAGGGTGCAGGTAGCCATCTCCTCTCAGGGTACCCAAGCCCTCCCCAGGCAATTCTTCCTCATCCTGTAGGCTACGGGTGAGGTGTGCAATGTAGGTGGTAGCCAAGAGCAGCACATCCAGCTTGGAGAGCTTGGTGTCAGGTGGCACAGAAGGCAGAGTCTTCTGCAGCTCCAGGAAGGCGTGCCGTAGAGTCTGCACCCGGCTGCGCTCCCGAGCAGCATTTGCAGCTGCTGGTCTCCCAGGTGTTGCTCCAGCCCGTTGCCCAGCTGAGGAGGAAGAGCAGGAATTACTGCCAGCTGATGAAGTCAGCAGCGAGTCAGGCTCTGAACTAGGGCTGGAGATGTCCTTGCCATTCTCAGATACATTTCTATAGTCCATCGATGACTTCCCAGAAAGGGAGGATCCTGCAAGTAAAAAGAACAGCTCTGAACCCAAACAAACACTTGCAGCAGCAGCAGTACCATAAGCCTACAGCAAAGCTCAAAATACCTTTTACACAAGAAGGAAGTCCTCTCTGTGTACTAAACCAACATATATATGCTTAAGTGCAACACAATTAATTTAAAAACACCAAGAAAAAAAGATATTGATAAAAATTGTATTCTTTTTGTATAACAGGACTGTCAATAGCCAGGTGAAGTTTGCTTGTGCAAGAGACGGTGCTCTCTAAGGAGCCAAATCAAAACTGCAGAAATTCCTGCAATACTTTAGACTAGAGGTGAAGCAACAGACATTTTGGGAGCCGATACCGATAACTGATTTTTAAGGAGATATTGGCCAATATCAATCCGATTTCCAATACAGCTGAGTCCAGCTGGTAAGCCTGTTGTGGTGGAAGGGAATAGGGGAGGGGGTGTAGAGGGACAGATCAATGCCCCCCATAGTGAGGGTGAGTGGGGCTCAGGCTGGGGTAGGCACTGCCATGGCTTGTCCAGGGGGCATGGAGGGGGGCAGTTCCTGCTGCTTGTCTGGGAGGCACGGGGGTGCTGGCGGGGGGGGCATGTGCCCCGAGATCTGTGTTGGACAGGACAGGACAGGTGGGCTGCAGCTGCAGGCTGGGGTTGGGAGTTGTACTGCACTGCACTCAGGGTGGGCAGCAGCACTGGGAGGCACTTCAGCAAAATTTGAGGTGGCTGCAGCACACCCGTAGCTCTCCTCCCTGTGCCCCCCTGGAAATACCTTGGCTCTGTCCTACGCCTGCCCCACCCTGGCTGGGCAGCTCCTACCCCAGCCCCACTCCCTCCCTCGCTGTGGGGGCCATAGATCTGCCCCCCCCTCCATCAACAGACTTACCAGCTGGGCTATGTGCATGCATGAGCATTTATCAGCCCAATTATCAGCCACTTCAGGCCAATTTCTGATATAGTCAATTTTCTTTATATCAGTGCCAATCCAATATTGGACCAATGCATTGGTGCTCCTTTACTTCAGACCTACCCAAAACTTCCAGATCTTCTCTTCCAAGTGCAAGGTATATTGCAGCCTTGTATTTACTAATGAAAACCACAAGCAGTATATATACACACACACACACTATATAGGTAAAGAGTCTCATAGTTTTCTGACCAAAAAAAGGACAAAGAAGGAGACAGCCACAATTATGTGGATGCCAGTTATGTCATTTATTGTGCTACTAGATGGTACTCAGTGGGGCGTTGAGCACCGTGTGAGATATAAGAACCAGGAGAGAAACTTAAAGTTGTCAACTCCAGTGAACAACAGGATTCTGACCTGTAAAACTGAGGACAACTGCTTGGTTTTTGCTTTTCTTTTTATTTTGTTATTTGCTATAAAAATAGTAAGAGCTGGTTAAAGATGCATCCAAATTCTTTTTGGGGCAAAGTTACACAGAGCCGGATATCCTCTCTTCACTTGCAAGAAGCAGAGTCAAAGGAAAGCAGCAGTGATTCTTTCAACAGCAGAATTAGGCTGGGGGCTATAAAGGGGTCAGAGAAGCTGGCCACCGGCTGTTTCATGTCTGCAGCTGCTGAAGTATCACTGGGCCAGCTCTGTCCTCTAAAAACTGTAAACTTTATTTCAATTTCTACTGTTTTCTTGTTATGTTAGAGGAGGACAAGAGACACTCCTCTGGTAAAAAACAAGCCAAAGCTGTTTTGTGGAAAGATGAAGATAGTGAAAACTTCCTTCCTGAATTCCAGAAATCATTGCTAGCTCCTCCCATCCATAAAGCTAACATTCCTTTAATTTGTTAAATGTCATATACTGTATAATCCAAGTTTTACTTAAATATATTTTAATACATAATTACTATACATAATCCTACCACCTACCTGGGAATACTTTCCACAAATTCACCACTACAGCTCTAAAAATTATACCTGCTTAAGGACCTGATCCTGCAACCTTTATTCTGGCAAAGCTACCAAATGCCATAAATTAATCTACTTGTAAGAGCTGACACCACATTCTTCAGGCTTGGTTTTGGGGCGGAAGGGTGAATAGCTTTTTACCCCAAATATAAATTGATAATTAGATAAGAGATCTTGAACTGTAATCTCACAGGACAATCAAATAACCAAAAAAAGAACCCGAAGGGTCAAATACAAGCAAAAAATATTATTAAAATAAAAACTAGGCCAAAAAGATGGAGTTAGCATTTTTAGTTAATGCAGAAGAAGAACCCAAGAACAAAGACTGAAGACTGCATAGATGCCCGATTGTAGGTCAGTCCTGCATACAAACTGAGTGCAGTTTTTTTTGGTTCTTTTGAGGGAGGCAGAGGAAAAGTCAGAACAATATGCTACATGAATCAGACACCATCTTTCACAGATTGGAGACCTGTTCTCTCTTTGGTAAACAAAATAAGAAGTTACTAAATCTTCTATTCAGTATTTTGTAATCAGGCTCTGGCCATCAAATATGTAATATACAAATCAATTATTACAGTCTCTAATTGATGCACTGGAAAAGAAAAATGTTTAGGCCATGGTTCTTCCAAACATTTAAGCATGTGCTTAACTTTAAGCACTTGCATCACCCATTTAAACCATTTTGTAAATGATGGAAATGAGAATAGTAGACAAAAATCAAAGAGGAAAGAAAGAGGGGAAAAAAAAGAAAGGAAAAGGAGGAGTAGAATGAAGAACAAAGTTTATGGGTGATCATTGTGAAAGAATCAACAATTCAGTGGTGATGTTTTTTAATATGGGTGCACGTGTGGAAAGGGGTGTTATTTTGTGCTCCAATTGGTTTGGAATTCATTTGGTTTATAGTTATATTGAACACACTGGGATAGAACAGCTCACTTTAATTGTTTCATTTAGAGTGCAAGAGAATTATTTATAAAGTACTTGTATTCTATGTTGTCATGTATTGAAAACCAGAGGGAAATCTCTGTGTATATGCTTTATTTTGAAAATAAAAAGTGATCCCTAAAAACAAGAACTCATGCATGTACTTGAGGAATGATGTTTAAATCATCTGCAAATCTATTTCCTTTTAGCTTAAAATCCAGCATGTGTCAGAAATGTGGTACAAATTATAGTATTTTCAGAACCAGAAGTGCATAAACTTTGGTGACCAAAACATCCCCCAAAAACCAAAACAAAAAACCCCCAGCCAACCCCCACCCCACCTCTGGCCATTCCTCTTCCACTTTTGTTGGCGTATTTTTAATTGGTTATTTTTCTAAGAACTAGCTGTTAGCTGTCCTTTCTCCCTGTTTGACCATGCCTCGTCCTGTCCCCCAAAGCTCTAGGAACTCAAAAATGTGCATCTAAGCATTCCCTCACCCCTTCCCCCCACCACCTCCTTTCTAGCTCCCTAAATCATACAATCACACTTCAGACTTAAGTAAATTGTAGGCTGTTGAGGTTTATTGAACTCATGTTAAGGAAAAAAGGAAAGCAAAAAAGTGAAAATGCCCCCACCTCCCTAGGCATACAAAGTTCTTTGGGTAAATGTGATATTTTTTATTGGACAAACTAAATAGCTGAAAAAATGTTCTTTGCTGCTTTCAAGCACAAACAACCTTTTTCAGGCATAGGGAAAGTCTGATGGATGG